GGCTGACATTGGCATACCAAGTGCCTTCTCTCCTGTTGCTCTGCCATGGGAAGCTTCTATACCCAAGATCAGCTCATGGTCTAAGATGACTGCTAAAGTACCAATCATTATGTCTGTATTCCAGATGGTAGGAAAGAGGACAAAGGCACATCTTCTCCCTTTAAGAATGCATGCACCACTTCTGCTTATAACCTATTTCCTGGAACCTGGCAATACTTAGCCACAAGGGAGGCTGGCAAATGTCTTTATTCTGGTTGGCCATGTGCCCTGCTTTTAAAAAAAAAAATCTAATACTATGGAAGAAGGGGAGAACAGCAGCATCTCTGTCACCTTGCTGAGCTCTCATTATTTGTGATAGGTGGCTGTTTCTAATCATTGTTCTCTATGGCTGATTATACTATTACAACAATCCAGCTTTGTTTCCTTCTTTCAGATTCTTCCATTTAATTACTTCCTTCTTTAAATAGTATTATTCTGGTAGCCAGAACTTTCAGTAGTTCCATGCCAAACAATAGGGGCTGCCCTATCTTGATCGCAAACTTCAATGGAATGTGTTTAATCAATTAAGCAATATCCTCACTGTATATTTTGTTCCTTTAGGGCCTTTGGTGAGGGAGTATGTCATGGTGGGAACACATAGTAGAACAAAGCTGTTCACCTCAAGGAACCCAGGAAGCGAAAGAGAGAAAGAGGGCAGGGTTTCCAATATCCTCTTCAAGGCATGCCCTGCAGTGACTTAACTTCTTCCCATGAGTCCCCACCTCCTAAAGGTTCCACCACTTCCCAATAGTGCCGCAGGCTGGGAACCAAGTCTTTAACACACATGCCTTTGGGGGATGTTAAAGATCTAAGCTATAGCAAGTAACCAGACAGATGTATTCTAAACTAAAGGCAAGAAAGTAAGTTTCAAGGTTTCTCCTAGCTCAATGGAATAAGCATGTTAAAATTTAGTTTGCTAATACTTTATTATTTCTGCAACTATGTTCATAAGTGAAATGGGCCTATTTCTTGAATTGTCTTCTTTTAGATTTGGAATCTAATTACGGTGTGTATGTGTATTTTCCCTGATGCTTCTTTCTCACAATGGCTTTTTCTTCATTTGTTTTGTAATTTGGATTGTAAACTGATATTTGCTCAGGGAATACTGAGAGGATTCATTCTGGGATGAACCCTTTATCTGTGATAATTAGCTTCCTGGTCCATGTGGGTAGTATATATTCAAATCTATTTATAAGGAGTTTAAAATCAAATTTGAAGATCAGTTATAACTTTATAAATATTTAAATAACAGTAAAAAGGAAACCTTTTTTTCATGTTGCTTGAGATTTTTTAGACTTAAAATATTACACATGTGATTTGTGATCACAATAGATTAGAAAGTACAGAAAAACAAAAAGGAAAACTGGATGAACATGAATCAAATTCTGCTCATCTTTGACAAACACACCTAACGGCTTCTTAGTCTTTTCCTCAGGCTCCTATTTAAACGCTGCATTGGGTACTTTTGAGCCTCTCAATTAGATTGTAAGCTGTTTGAGACAACACAAATCTTTTACAATACCTGTTTTTTTTTTTTTTTTTTTTTGCAGTACTAGGAATTGAGACTCAGGGGTTTGTATTTGCTAGGTAGGTGTTGTATTGGTCATTTTGAGATACAGTTTCACTTTATGCCTGGGCTGGCCTGGACCAAGATCCTCCTATTTGTGCTTTGCCCAGTAGTTGGGATGACAGGTGAGTGCCACTGTTGGGTTAGGGGCTTGCAGACTTTTTTCTGGAGTTGAACTCCAACTGTGATCTTCCCCAATCTCCACCTCCCAAGTAACTAGGATTACAGGCTTGAGCCACAGTTCCCAGCTTCAAATGGTACTTTCTAAAGAGTATCCTCTCTAGTCTTAGCACATTCCCAGTCTCACTCTACTGTGTGGAAGATAAGTGACAGTAACAGTATAAATGTGCTATTTTTATGTTGAAATTTGCATTTTGAAAAGTGAATGCCACATTAGAAAAGTTCTATGCCTGTGAACTTTTAGATCATAAACTAGCAAGCATATGATAGACTCAAATTCAGTTACAGTGATTTTTCAGTCTTATACAACTTTTATTTGCCTTCCCCATAATTTTCAGTGTTGCAGTTATGAGATATACCCATGTCTTATTATTTATTGAAGTTTTTTTAGACAGGGTCTCTCTATGTATCCCAGGCTAGCCTCCAAGTCACAATTCACCTGCCTCAGCTTCTGCTGAGGATTATAAGCCTGCTCATCACACCTGACTTTGTCTTGGCCATTTACAAAAAACAGTTTGCCAGCTTCATCCTCTTTTTTTTAGGGATCATTCCCCACTCAGGGTTGTGTAAAGAAATAGAGAAATGATCACAAAAATGAGAACTAGAAGATATATGGGAGAGAGGAAATAGGTGCTTGAGAATAAGGAAAAGGAGAGGAAGAAAGGAAGGAATAACCAGGGGTTCTCAAACCAAATTTTTATTTTAGTATTTGGATATTTAAAATTTTAATATTCAAGTCACTTGGGATATTTGCTTAAAAAGTTAATGTCCAGGTATAACCTAAAGAGATGATGACTCAGTAGACCTGAGAGCAGACCCGGGAATTTTACACAACGCTTTAAGACATACTAGAATTAGAAAGTGACCCAGTGTGGGGACTGGAAGCATGCCAAAAACAATTGACAAAGGGGCAATTTCTGCCACAAGATGCTAATCCTGGGTATTTGGAGAGCCTTTGAAAGATGTCAGTGTATGTCTACACTCAAAAATCTTCTGTTTTTAGTACTTGCCATAGCATATAAAACAATACTCTAACCTATTACATTCACCTTCCCATAAAAGGAACTCACAGCAGAAGAAGAAAGAAAAGGACTTCCTAAAATGGATCATTAGCACATTCTTAAATGTGTACAGTAACCCAAAACATTAACGGAGAAATTTTCCCCACTTGAGGAATCTAGTTTGTCTAGCCCATCATAGGGTAATCTGGCTGAAGGAACTCTGTCAATCTGCTGTGGATCACCATGTCTTGTGGGGGAGGACCTGACTTCTTTGCCCTGCTGAACTCCAAAGGAGTTTTGACACCTTGAGAGGAGACCCACAGACAAGTGTGTGCTACAAGAAGTTTGTGGCACAGTTCATTTTCCTTAGTGGACTTGGGACTCAAGAAAGAAAACATGGAGTAGGACTAACATTATAAGGGGAAGAGGTAAAAGGTGTCAAGCTGTGTGACAACTAAGCTCAGGGGAAGGTTTTGTATCCTAAAGTGACAATAATCAAGAAAGCCCCAATGGGGGCTAAAGTAAATCTTTGTCTTCACTCAGTATCTTTTCTGAGTTCCAGACCACTCTAGGTTTCAGTTTTCTGAAAAAAAAAAATTACCTTGCTCATTTCAAGACCCTAAATAAATCCTCTGCCTCTCTAGCTGAGTCCTACGTGGAAAATGGATGTAGGAATTCTAAGTAGATTTGAACAGGAATGCAATGTCCGGTTAGCCGTTCCTTGGTCTCTTGACAGGAGGCAATTGCTTTAAGCTTCAAGAATGCTCCTCGTAGGGAAGGAGGCGGGTCTGCCAGTGTGTTTGTGTGCTTTTTGGACATCTGTATTCGGGCTTATTCGCGGTGGCAGTTACTTCCAAGTGCAAGCGCATGCAAAGGGTTAAGGTCTCTGAAATGATTACTGGACAGTAGCCAACACACTGAGAAAAGCCATAGCTCCTGGGAATCAGCAGGGAGCAGCTCTTCTAGTGGGTGCGCCTGAGCTCAGCGGCTGTCAGGGTTCAAGGTGAAGAAGTAGTAAAGCGAGAGGTGGGATGTTTGCAGGAAGCTAAGGTACATGCATGCACTGAAAAAGCAAAGCCCATACAGCTTCGCTCATGCCAGGTTTAGAAGGGCCAGTAAGGAAACCGTACGTATGCAGGAGCCGTTTCAACCTGTCCACACCCTAGTCTGACTTCCCCAGAAAACGGGCACGCGAGGGGGCAAAGGCCATTGCCAAGCCTCGGCTCTCTGGCTCCCAGGCGCCTCAAGTCCCAACATCACAGCCCCAACCGGACATCACACAGGAGTGGGCACTGCATAGACGTGAGGCCAAGTTTTGGTCTGTTCACTGCAAATCTGGTCTTGCCCCCAACCCCCACCAAGAATGGGATTTGGCCACAGGGCTCCGCTGCAGCGCCAGGCAGAGGCTGAGCAGCAGCTTGCAAGCTGAGTGAGGAGCCATCCTCCGCCGCCGCCTCCTCCTGCTGGCGCGGAGTCGGCAACACAGCCAGTCCCCATCGCTGTCACTCAGCCAGCAGCGCGGCCCCCGCCCCCCCGCGCGGCCCCAGCCCTCACACTGTTATTTGCGTGACTGACCCGAGCTGGGCGGGCGGGAGGACCGTGCAGAGGAGGGGGAGGCAGGGAAGGAGGGAGGGAGGGAGAGAGGGAGCATGTGGGCCCACCCGCTTCTTCCCGTTGGCTAGCTACGGCAGCTTTCTCTTCCTCATTGGTCTCGCGCTTGCGTCCATCACCCCAAGCGGCGCTCCGATTGGTAGAAGGAGCGGATAGGGGAGCGAGAAAGGCAGAGTGACTCCGCCGGTCTCCGGCGGCTGGTCTTTCCTTCTACACCCGTCCCCCTCCCCCCAACTTCAACGTCCACCCACCTCTCCCCACCCCCCGCCACTCCACTTCCCCCGCCCGGTTCGCGGCAGTGTCCTTAGAAGACTCATTGGGCCAGGGGCGAAGCCAGCCGCCTATGGAGCCACGCCGCCATTGGCGCATGCCCACGCCCATCTCGGCGGCGGGCGTCACTATTGGGCAGCTCTTCTCTGTTCTCCGCCCCCTCCAACGCCTGGCCCTCCCGGTCGCCTCCTCCCCTCCCAGCTCTCCCTCGGTCCCCTTTGCCCCGCCCGTCCCCGCCGCATCTCCCCTGTCCAGCTGGGCGGGGACTGCTGTACGACTCTGTAAAGTCTGTGAGTCACTGCACAACCCATCAATCCAATTAAATGTCTTGAGCGAGCCGAGCAGGCGGTGCTGCCGCCCGCTGCCGCTCGCCCCGCCGCGGCCGCCCCTGCTCGCAGCGCCCCTCTGATCCATGGCTGTCTGTCTGTACTTGTTACGGTGTAACATCCTCCTCCTCCTCCTCCTCCTCCTCCTCTTCGGGAGCCGCTGCAACTTCCCCTCAGCCAGCCTCCTCCTTTGCTTGGGGACTGGAAAGGCATGGGATAGACCCAGAGCCACTTCTGTCTGTCTCCCCTCCCGCCCTCGCTCAGTTTCGCCCCTTTAAATTAAAGTCCGTTCCTCGCTCCTCGCCGTTTTAAGAGATTTATTTGACAGTCTGTTATTTCTTTCCCCCGGTTTTCTTTTCCCTCCGCGGGGTAGGGGTCATAAAGGACCAGGGGTGGGCTTATTTTAGGGAGGGGGGGCGCTCCAGCACCCCACCCCCTCCGTTTCTTCTCCCTCTTCCTCGGCCGTGACTCGATTTCCCCTGCTGCTCCCTCCCGTGGAACTCACCGTCCTGTCCTGAGTGACGCACCGACACCCCCCTCCCACAGCCCAGACGTCCCCTCCCTCGCTGCCACCCCGACCCGCCTCGGAGCTGGACCGGGAGCCTACTTCTTCGCAGAAGGGTGAGTATCGTGTTGGGGTTTTAAAAAAAAAAAGGGGGGGGGGCCTGAAAAAATGTGGTAGCCGGTCCACTTTTGGGGAGGGCAGACACCGGGTTGTGGGGTGGAGGTTCCTGGTCCGGCGTGGATTTGAGGAGGCGACTCCCTCCCTCGCTCCCTCTTCCCCCGCCCCTCGACTCCTTATTCACTAGCCTTGCTGTATTTCTAGATATTGCCAGACTTCTACCATGGGGCATTATAACGCTTATAAAATAATTGGTGATGGCATGCTTTCTGTCTTTTGGATGCCCAGTGAGTGGTAATAGTCAGCGATGTGATCTGATAGACTCTGTGACCCGCAAAGTGGAAAATGGCTAATGGGGACATTTTCCTCTAAATCAAAGTTAACTTTTATTCAATAAAGGCAAAGTGAAAGGTATTTTTAATTTGAATGCATGGTGATAGAAGAAGAGAAGACTGTTTGCCTAGTGGCGTCATTTAGTGCTTTTATTTTAAAATAATTTGATAGGTTCCCTTTTGAAAAAAATTTAATTTAGTATTAAAGGTTATGAAGTCTTTGAACCTGTGGGGAAAAGCAAGGTAAAATGGAAATTCAGTTTGACACTTCATCTTTAGCTTATTTCTGTTCTAGATAGGCGTTACAACATCGAATTTTGTATTTCTGTCACTGGACACAGGGGCATGTGTTAAGGATCTAGAGAAATATGGATTATGTTTTGCTACTCATATCTGTGTTCTTGGTTACCCTTTACACAGTGTCATTTTACAGAATTTTGTACATGTTTAAGTTGACTTCTTGGTTGTCAGTAGCTCAAAAGCACAAATACTTGCCCATATGTGTTTAATGAGAATCTGTCTTTACACGTCTTGAATATTTAGTTTGAGATAAAAGAATTAGAAGTGGTTACTGAGGCTGCTGTTTAGAATTCAGCTGTTTTAAATTGGCATTACTCTTTTGGAATCAAGTTTTGGGCTAGTTGTCCACAAGAGTCAAATTAGGCCAAGCCAAACATGTTTTGAAATATTCAAGTACAGGAAAGGCCTCTTAGTACTTCATTCTCTCCTTCTCTTTCAGACTAACCAGAATAAGTTGTTACTAAATTTAATTTTAAAGAATAGACTGTTCCTGTACTGAAATCTGCCAAGTTGCTACAGAAAGATTTCTTTTTAAAGAGCAGAAATGTGTTTATGATCAGTCTAAAGTGGTAAAGTTGAGAAGTTGACTTACATGTAAGTGCTATCTTAGGGCGTGCTTGTCACAAGCCCCCAAATCTTTTTGGTGTATTTCAGGAAGACTCATACAAAGTCTTTTTGAATTGTTTGATAACTATCACCATGTGACCTTTTTCATGAGGGTGAGACTGAATCTGAAAGGCTTCATAGCACAGGAGAGGCATCCTGCCTGAATTTAATCTTGTCCTCATCTCTCCCTGGCTCTGTGACCTTGGGCAAGTTTCTAACCTGGCTTGTACTGTGGTCAATGGGGGGAAGACTCCTCTTGAAAGGGTTGTTGCAAGGGTTAGAGTGCTTGTCCCAGCACTCAATGTTGGCTGGAGGGACACCATCACCATTTTAGGGGGTGTCTAGTGTAATAGGTTAGAGTGGAGCCTCTGGGGGCAGGCAGGTACTGGGCCCCTGTAGCCCAGCTAGTTGGGAGGCTGAGACAGAGGATTGCCTGCCAGACCAACTGGGCAGCATAGCCAGTCCTTGTCTCAAAAGCAAAAACAAGCCTGGCGCTGGTGGCTCATGGCTGTAATCCTAGCTACTCAGGAGGCAGAGATCGGGAGGATTGAGGTTCGAAGCCCGCCTGGGGAAGTAGTTCCGCGAGACCCTATCTTGAAAAAACCCTTCACAAAAAAGGGCTGGTGGAGTGGCTCAAGGTGTAGGCCTGAGTTCAAGCCCCAGTACTGAAAAAAAAAAAAAAAGCAAAACCAATAAATAAATAAAAAACAAGGGGGGGAGACCTCTGGAATCAGATTCTTTTATGTTTAAGTCTCAGCATCTCCTCTTGCCATCTTTGATCTTGGTCAAGTTAACGTTAGATTTTTCATCTGTAAAATGATAATAATAGGGTTATAGTGAGGACAGAATGAGTTAATACATGTAAAGATTTTGTGTAGTGTTTGGTACCTCTTTCCAAGTTCAGTGATGTTATGTTAATTGCATGCCTTGAAATATGGGTGACTGTTTTTTAGGAAGATGATCATTGCTGTTAATAAAACAAGCAGAAACTTTATCAATATGCCTGATATTTGAAGTAGAGTTTACATGAAACTTTAAGAAATTTAGCTCTTGGACCAGATGGGAGGCACACTCAGAGGTTGATCAAGTGTTTGAGGCCAGCCTGGGCTACATAGTGAGAAACTGTCTCTAAAAAAAAAAAAAAAAAGAGAAGAAATTTGGTTATTTGGTGAGTTGAGTTGATCACTCTTTCATTTCAACTTGCATATTAGAACTACGTACCTCCATATTAAACATATCACAAGCCTGCTGTTGTGTGTGATTTTTCTCCCCTTCTAAACAGAAGGCTGTTTGAGGGTAGCAATAGTGTTTCAGTCAGCTACTGTCTGGTGCCCTAGCAAAGTGTGTGGAGTATAAAGAAGCATAATTAATGCTTGTGGAATTAATTAGACAATGTTATTCTTAAGTTGTTTATGAGTACTTGAATAAACATTATAAGTGATACTGTGGAGAATACTGTTATTTGTATTGTTGAATTGAATTTTTACTTTTTCAGTTATTTATAAATAGAGAATAAATGAGATTTACAATGTAATTTACCTTTTATTAAAAAACACTTTTTCACTTTGAAGAGTGAATTGAAAATAGTCTGAAAAGCATGTCTCATACCTTCCTTTGTTACCTCCCATGTCCATTTTTTAATCATAAGACTTTCTGACTCCTAAACTTTATCATTAAGTTGAATGTTATTATTAGTTAATGTGAACTGTACAAGTTAGATTTTGAATGTCTGAAATCATGATACTATGTTATTCTCTGCTTCAGAATAAAAAAGAGAATTTATCATCTTAACAGTATAAAGTAAAATGGTATAATTTCCTTAAGAACCAAAGCTTTATTTCTCTTTTCATCTAAGAATAAAATTCTTTCACTTGAGCAGGGTTAATAATAAATAGCATAATAGGAATCATAAAGAAGATATGTATAATTAGCAAATAAAACACTTAAAATTTAAATTCCTCCACATGCCTAATGGGCATTGCACAACTGGGAAGTGTATATTTTTAAACAAGCAACATTGATGGGGCCCACTACCAGCTTCATTTATACAATCATTCTATTTTACTTGTCAGTAAAATTCAATTTAATTACTGTGCCCTCTGAAGTTATAAAATGCAAGAATTATCTTTAATAAAAGAAGGCTCTTCAGTAACGAATCTGAATACTTACCACTCAGAAGTGTTACCATGTTCCATAGCATCATTAAAACTTTTCAGATACCTGTCTGTCATAACGTGGATGATTTTGTGTACAGAATCCTTTGTTTAACCGAATCATGTTATCCAGTTTAGTTGAATACATTGCATTTTCATGGGCTAACCAACTTTTAGAAAACTTGTTTTGTTTCTGTGCTTTTTGTTTTGTTTGATTTTTGGTTTTTGAGACAGGGTCTTGCTAAGTAACCTGGGCTGGCCTAGAGCTTGTGATTCTTCTGTGTGTTGGAATTATAGGCATGAACTACCATGCCAAGCTATTTGTATACTTTTAAAGCGGTTAACCTGAAGTTAAGCTTTAAAAAAAAAAAAAGCATTTATGGGTACTTGGAAACAACGCTTTAGTGTCTGGTCCGCAAAGTGGAAGGTCTCTTATTTTTCATTTGACAATATTAGCATGATATTGTTTTCATAGCTTGTATCTCTATATTTCTTTTAACCCTTTTTTCTGGCAGAGTGACAAGCGATAAGAGCACCTGCCTAGTAAGTGTGAGGCCCTGAGTTCAAACTCCAGTAGTGCCAAAAAAAAAAAAAAATCTGTTCATTTCGCCTTTTTTTGTGAAAATATTTGGGTATATGCAGTGTTTCACCTTTTTTGTATGTGTGTGAAAATATTTGGGTATATACAATGTTTCCAACCTTTTCTTTTTAGAGACAGAGTCTCTATGTTGCCAAGGCTGACCCTGAGGTCTTGGGCTGAATTAATTCTTCTGCATTAGCCTCCCAAGTAGTTAGGAATACAGGCACATGCCACTATACCTGGCTAAAGTTTCCAACTTAAAAAAATACAGCACTTATTGTGAAGAATTACTTGGAAAGAAAAGAAAGCAGAAGTAGAAATAACCTTTTGGGCTTGTGATTTTATGCTTATCTTCCAACATTTGGAAAATGGATAGCTATATACTCTATGTCAGTGATAAAAAGGAGAGAAAAGTAATGGAAGCATTATCTAATGACATGCAACATAGGATGAAGGCCCATGGAGTTCTACATTCAGTGATACCCTGGTTGACATGTGACCTTGGACACTACACTTAACCTCCACTACTCTGTTCAGGCAGTTACCCCACCTTCACTCACAGGGGAAGTCATAGGTGTAAAATGTGAGGGCCTTTAAAAAGCCATGTGAGAAAGACAAAATTCAGGTAAACACAAAGTTAACATTAGTATTTAAAAGAAGGTATTTGTTCATCATTATGTCAAAATTAGGATCTTTCTTTTTTTAAAAAAATATCAAGGGCATTTTTCCTTTTGATTTTAGATTTGAAGAGACTTCTTACTCATCATGCTAGGAAAGGGCTCTACCACCTAACTACACCTCAGCCCTCTAAGGTACCTTTTAAAGAATCAAGGAGCTTTGGTTTAATTGGGGTTTTAAATTTTAGCACTGAGTTTTGGTGCATCCTGGTTTATAGCAGATGTTGATATTTTAAGAACAAACTTTAGATATTTGGGAGATAATATATTTCATTGAGTTAAAGTTTGTCAAACTTGTACTTGCATTTTAGGAGAAAATGTGCTGGCTTAATCAGATGCCATTAGAAGTAT